AGCAGTAGGACAACCAACAGTAACCAGGTCCCAAGCAAGGAATCTCCTTTTCTTCAATAAGATCCATGCTTATAACAAGAACAAAAGAACTGACCAGTGGTTTAATGGATCCGTCTACCAGTACTGTGCAAGCGCATTCTGTCCAAATAGGAGCAGGGATAAAACCATCCCAAAGGCGACACCAATCCTAGCACCTATTGGAAGTAAAGATGATCATCACTCAGTAGTACCCCCATTAGCAGAGAAGTCCTCTCCTACACCATCATACCTAACTCCTACTGCAGCATCATCCAGTAGAAGTGTAGTAACTCCTACACCACGTACATCGCCACTCCAGTTGACAACCAAACCCTTGCCAAGCGAGTCGACAAACACCAGTCCTACACTCAGAGCTAGTTTCTTCTCAGGAATCTTTGACTCACCTGAACTAGGCAATCCACCAGTCCCAGTAGAGGAACAACACCCAGTACCTGTTCCAGCAGAACCCAAACCAGATCCACTTAGATCTCCAGTCGACCCTATTCCAGAAGAAGAACCTACTGACAGACATCTGAACAACCCAGAAGAAGGAAACCCAGAACCCAGTGATCAAGAAGATGAAGAAGATATGTCTGACAACAACAGCGGAGCAGTAAATAAGCCCAACCAATTTGAAGGAGACAAAGGAAAGAGCAAGGAATTCTTGGACGAATTGTACCTATACTTTGAGGGAAACTCCAAGAAGATCCAGACCGATAAAGATAAGGTTCAATGTGCCCTTTCCTACATCAAAGGACCTGCCCAGTTCTTCATCCACACCATCATTCCTGATGCACAAGAACCCATCTCTGATTCTGAAGATGCGCCACTTAAAGGATTACCCAGCTGGGCCAACTTCAGGAAGTCCTTTATTCAGACTTTCAGAGTCGAGGACAACACTCAGGCAGCCTTAAATGAAATCAGCAAGTGCACCTGGGATAAGTGTGGAGGGAATGGTCTTCAATTCATGACCACTCTTCGACCTCTCTTACAAGCCAGTGGGTTAAACAAACTAGGGCAAATTTGAGAACTCCAACGTCTCATCCCTCCTGCTCTCCTCCTCAAGATTGCCGCTCAGCCGCCATTACCAGTCACTGCAATAGGTTACCTGAACAGCGTCCAATCTATCTGTCAATCTATGATCAACATCTTTGGTGATAAACCCCTATTCATGATGTCTACTAATCGATCTTTTGGTTGCAACCACAACAAGTTTGTATGGCACAACTGAGCAATTGAAACCAGAGAAGAATCATCTAAGGATCAGCAGATCAGACGACTATCAGATAAAGATCATAAGGAACACATGGACAAGAAGTTATGCTTCAGGTGTCACAAAACCGGACACCAGAGTCACCAATGCCCAAACAATCACATCAGGGCAATGGAATCCCATAACACATCCACTCAGGAGAAGGATGAAACCAAGGATTCTCCCGATGAAGAAGGGATAGCCAAAGAATACATTCAGGCTATATCCTCTGAGAAGGATTTTTGAAGACTTCAATCGCTGTGGCGTCGAATTGAAGTAATGGCACTAAGGACTATTTATATCAGGCAAGATTAGCTCATAAATCTATTTATTTGCCTTGTATATTAAAAACCTATGCCAAAATCGTCACCACTGAGGCATTGCTTGACACAGGAGCAATGGACAATTACATCAACATCCAGTTTGCTCAAGATCACAATCTCCAACACCAGAGCATTACACCCAGACCAGTGTTCAATGTCGACGGGTCACCTAATAAAGCCACAGCCATCAAACACAAAGTCTTCTTTACTATATCCTTATCTGGCCAACCAATGAAGATAGAAGCTTACACCACAGTACTAGACAGGAATCCCATCATTCTAGGTCTTTCATGGTTCAAATGTTTCAACCCAACAATTGACTGGATCACTGGGAAGATGTGCTTTTGTTGGGATCAACTACTGCAGGCAATCAAGACCCTTACTAGCAACATCCTGGAATACCTGGAAAAATTCCTATCTGTATTTAACAAAAACACAGCAGAACGGTTACTGGAATGAAAACCCTGGGATCACGCAATCGATCTAGAGGCAGGCTTCAAACCCCGACGAGGAAAGGTTTACTCACTATCACCAGTAAAGCTTAAGGAATTGGATACCTTTATTGAGGAAAATTTACGGAAGGGGTACATTCATCCATCAAAGTCTCCTATGGCATCCCCATTTTTCTTTGTCAATAAGAAATCTGGAGATCTCCGACCATGCCAGGACTACAGGAAACTCAATGATGCCACCATCAAGAGTGCCTACCCCATACCAAGAGTAGAAGACCTGCTAGATTGCATCACCTTGGCCAAACCAACAATGTTCACCAAGCTTGATTTATGCGCAGGATATAACAATGTATGCATCAAGGAAGGCGATGAATGGAAAGGAGCGTTCATCACTCCACAAGAATTATTTGAACCAACTGTCATGTTCTTTGGAATGACAAACTCTCCAGCAACCTTCCAAGCTATGATGGATGGCATCTTCACAGATCTGCTGCTAGAAGGATGGCTAGTAATCTCTATTGATGACATTCTCATCTTCTCCACCGATCATGTGGAACATCGGCAATGCACTCAATTGGTCCTTCAATGGTTGAAAGAATCAGATCTGTTCCTCAAACCCGAGAAATGTTTCTTTGATGTATCAGAAGTCAAGTTTCTAGGATTCATTCTCCAACCAGGACAAATAGGGATGGCAGAAGATGAGGTATCAGCAGTACTAAACTGGCCAAAAATTGACAGTGTCAAAGCACTGCAATGATTCCTAGGGTTTGCCAATTTCTACTGCAGATTCATTCCAGGATATTCCAAAGTGGCACAAGCCCTGTTTGATCTATTGATTAAAGGAATCAAATGGAGCTGGACTGATGATCATGACAGAGCCATCAATCAACTCAAAGAATGCTTCAAGACTCGACCACTTTTGGTACAACCTGATGTCACCAAACCCTTCAGAATAGAATCTGACGCTTCTCTAAAAGCATCTGGCAGCATCCTTTCTCCAAAACAATCTGATGGGAGATGGCATCCATGTGCTTTCCTCTCCCAGTCATTCTCTCCGATAGAACAATGGTATGAGATCTATGATTGAGAACTCTTGGCAACCATCAGATGTTTCAAAGCCTGGTGACACTACATCGAAGGATGCACCAAACTAGTGGAAGTATTGACAGATCATATGAATCTGACATATTTCAAAGATCCTCAGAAATGTTAGTTGAGTGCTTCGCTTTCTATGCTCTTTGTTATTTAAATAT